GGGGTGGGAGTTTCTATTCCTTCCTAAATGTCAGTTGGTGGATTTCCATATTTTTATTGATTTTTTCTTTTGCTACAATATTTTTGTTGGTTTGGTGTGAATGAAAAACAAGGAAAATGAAATCAAATTAGTTTTCAAACACCCTATAAATATAGGTGATATCTTTTCCAAAAGGCCAGCATTATGTGTTAACTGTTGCCTAAAGTAACTGTAAAGCCTGAACTGGATCTTCTATGCACAGTTTTACCTAGAAATCCTATTGCCAAGGTGCCTAAAAATTTATTTTTGTCATACTAAATCAGAAAGTGGAGAGAACTGGTCCTAAATTTATGCTTTTCTTTTGCTGGAGCTTAATTCACGTCTACTGGAAGAAGTATTTGGTCTAGTCTGGCACCTCTGATAATGAAGGCTCAAAACCTTGAAACTTTGTTTAAGGTGCTCCATATTCTTCTAGATCCAATTCTAGAGTCTCTAACATTGTTGTGATAGGATATTTCAAGACAATCATCTTATTCTTGACTGTTTCAAGTTCACTTGATTTGAAGTTGATCATACGAAGATCTTATTCAAAAAGATACTCGGATCAGCACCCAAGTTCATCACTGATGAAGATGCAATGAAACTGGAACGGTTGAAGGAATCATCATACAACTCAAAGCTATTACGAATCACCATACAACTCAAAAGAAAAAATAAAGTTCCCTTAACTCTTTTACCCATCCCCAAAATTATTAGCTAGTAAAATGCCATCAAAATATAAATAATGAATGCAGAATACCTTGCTGTGCCATTGAAGTGGAATGAATGGAGCAGTTTTTTTCCTTCAATAAACTTATCTTCCGATTGGTTGAAGCATATCAATCGGTTGCTCCAACTCAGGATACTCCTCTTTCTTCGATCAGAACCCTATTTTATTATCAAAGAATTCAAAACCCTAAAGCTTTGGGATTAAGGGGAACTCAAAGTTTGTGTTTATTAATAAACTAGAAGAGGAAGGGCAGAGTCGAAGGGGAAGAGGAAGGGTAGAGACAAACTCGGAATGTGTAATCCAAATCGATTAGGAAATTAACTCTAAGAATAGGAAGAGGATACTAAGCTCGAAGGGGAAACTCCAAATCTAAGGAAGGAGGTACTGCATGCAGACTCCACGTTGAAGAAGGAAATGCGGGAAGCGTCTAAGCAAGTCACGAAACCATATTACGGCCCCATTTTCAATTTTTTTTTTTTGCATTTTGAACCAGTTCCGTATTGGGTTGTGACTGGTTTAATTTATAAAACCGTCGGCCTAAATTGGCTTTTTGCTTTTTTTAACTAATAGACAGCAATTTTGATTAAAACGCCGACCTAAACACATCTAAGCTGGTGCTTTTTTAAATCGCCAGTGCTAAATCGCCGGCTTAGCCGTTTTTTCTTGTAGTGATTTAGTCAAACATTGTAGAGATTGTGAAACAGATTGGTGGAGGGAAATCCTACTTGGTGTCCATTTGGGAGGACTGAAGCCAACAGCTTCTGGCTTGTGGGGGTGGGCTCCACATGGACAGGGTATAAGCTATGTTTATTGATTAATCTGGAGAGCAGCCTGAATCAGTTGTTAGTCAGTTCATTTGAATGGCCGTCCCCTTCAGCTCCTTTGAATTACTTATCTAGAGTGCTTCAAAGCAACCAGCTTAGCTGAATCTTCAGCGCAGCCCTTCCAGACAGGTCCTTAGCTTCTTGGGGCTAGTATAGTGTTGTAATTTTCTAAGGGATGAACTGTTGGCAAGGTTTAAATTGTTGGTGTTGGTGGCAAGGTTCAAAGTATCGATACGATACGAGTTTCGGTCGTATTGTATCGGTACTTAGAAATGGCCGAAACTCTATTTTTTTTTTAGTTTTTTTTCAAGTTTTGGTTTTTTGGGAAGCTTTTAGCATGCTTTTTATTATTAAAAAAATTTGGGGGTCCGAAACACTTGGAAATAGGCGTTTTGGACTGTATCTTTTTCAAAAGATACGATACGATACACCTCGTATCGGGCGTATCGTATCGATACTTTGAACCATGGTTGGTGGAAATGTCAATCATCCAAATAGAGGAAACTTATTGAAAGCGTTATATGGAAATATTGTATAAAATATGTGATCTTGTCAAATATGTGGTATATATGTTGATATTTTGAGAAGAAAAGTCAAGAAACTAAGGTTTGTGGAAATTTACATTGATATTTTGCCTTAGTTGCACCTTTAGATTATCATTTTGTTCAAAATCATTGACAAAGCGAAGAAACTAAGGTTAAAAGACCAAAACAATATGCTGCAAAGTTGTCCTATGGACTTTTTAAGTGTTAAATTATATAATAGAGTAAGTTTAATTAACTTTTAAACACAAAAAAATGCAGATGATTTTAATAGATCAACCTAATCCATCACACAAATAAAACCTAAGGGGCAGGTCTGAACTGCTTGTTCTGGTGGACTTTTAGGACTGACAAAGGACTGGTTGATTGTGTAGCAAAAACCAGGGTGATGGTTCAATGTCTGCTTTGTAGAAATGTGAATGTTGGGGCCTGGGAATAAATTTTATCTTTACAGGAGAAACATATATGTCTTGCCAGCTGCGAGCTGTTCCTATTTGTTTTTTCTATCTTATCTTTTGGATAGCAAGGTTGCTATTGCCATTGAATACAAATATTCTGTTGGCAATCAAAAAATTGTTAAGTGATGGAGTGTATGTTGAGAAGATTAATATAAATGAGAAGGAATCAAAGGGAAAAACCTCACTTAAGTAGGATGCAATCATCAGTTTGAGTGGACGTATTAAAGCACAGAAAACTCAAAAGATCAATTCATATTTCTAAAGTTTTTTTTTTCTCCATCTTAGAGGTGGATTGTTTGAGGTTGTCCCTTGCAAGAAAAAAGTTTACAAAAGCAGTCCAATGAAGGACATTTGTCATCAGGCAAATTTGTTGGACCAGAGCGTTTGTAAATGTGATTTTTCTGAAGCTGCTGATGGATAAGTTAGTATCTGCTTGGTAAAGGAGAATGTTGAGAAAGGAGACTGAATGTCCTGGTGGTTATGAATGAAGTGTGTTTGATTGAGAAGAAAATAGATATTAGTACTGTTGTTCACAATGAAGCTGAGGTTGGCAAGAAATTACAAGTTCTCTTTTTGGGAGGTGAGACATTTGCAAGAAAAGTTTTCCTTACATTAGAGTAGAAAGAGAGAAGGAATGAATGCCCATCTTCATTGGAGTGTATGTAGGAGTCAGGTCATAGATGTCGGGGTGCTTATGTAATTTAGGTCAAGTTAATGGGTCTTAATCTCTAATAAGTTTATCTTTTGAAGCCAGAGGATATAAGGGGTTGTGTTAGGGGATAGGTGCTGAGGGATCTATCTTCCTTTCTCTTAGGTTGGCTGGTGAAGGTTGTTCCTTTGCGGCCTGTGTTGTTATGGCCTGGTGCAGGGTTGTTTGTTTTTATTCTGTCCTGGTTTTCTAAGGGCCGTGTGTGGTTTGGGGAATTTGAATGTTGGCCAGTGGTGAGGTTCTGCTTATAGTGATATCTTGTAACCTATATATACCTTCTTATTTTTCAATAATATTTTATAGTCACTATAAAATTTGTATGTAGAGATTTTTTATGAAGGCAAAATTTTATCTTTCAAAAAAATCTTGGGCAAAATTTCCATGAATGGGAAAAAAACTTCGCAAAAGAAACTGCCAATTAAAAAAAAAGAGTTTTAGGTGGAGCTTACTGATAAGAGATGGATTTTGGTAGAATTAAGGTGACAAATATCTATTGGGAGAGAGTTCAAGCATGAAATTTAACAGGGATGGTAGAATTAAGGTGATAGCTATCGAAATGGGAAGTTTTGTGGAAACTAGAGAAAAAAACATACTTGGATTAGTTTCAGTCCTTTATGTATGTTGAGCGAACTACTTGATGGAGAATTTGAGGGATGTTGATGGTTGTAATGATTTCTTGTAGAATTGGATAGAAGACAAGATTTCTATAAGCATAAAACTTCATTCCAATATCATTCACATTTTCATAGCCATGTTTTTACACAGTACATGTATATACTCTTTAGGGTCTACCAAGCTCCTTCCTTAATTAAAAAACTTAAATTTATGGTTCTGCCATCTACCTCCAATAACCCAAAAAATAAAAAAGAAATAACTTTAAGCTGTGACTGAAATTTTAAAAACAAAAAAACAAACTAGGCCAGACCCACAGACAGACAGCATGCAGTATTAACCAAAATACTTGTTCCATGTATTGAAAAAAAAAACAAAATATGCATCGACCCTTAGACAATACTTTGAAATCAATTTTGAAACTTGAACAAGAAAAAGTAGGGTTAACCAGCTAAAATGATATAACGAGAACATCTTTAGGCATGTTAGGTATTGCAGTAAAAAATTGCCACCATATGAAGTATTTGAAACCCTTGACATTCTACAATGACCATAACAAGATACCACTTCATCTCCTCACCCTAAACCTATTTTAAGGTGAGTCCCAAAATATGCATTGACGCTTGAGCAATGCTTTGAAATCAATGAGTGAAATTTGAACAAGAAATAGTAAAGGTCAACTAGGTAAAGTGATCTGAGGAAAATATTGGGCATGTAAGGTACCACAAAGTAAGGTCAGCTAGCTTAAAGGACATATTGAGGAAAAAGTTGGGTATCAAGGTAAACAAATGCTATCTTTTACTATGGTAGTGGTACTGTAAGCTTTTGATATACACATTCTCTCTCTCTCTCATTGCCAGTTTGAGTTTGCAATTTGACCGCTGCATAATTTATCTCGAGCTAAGAATGATGTATCTTTTTCTTGTTCCGACCTTCTTTTTGGGTTACTTGCTCTTCTACATTGGTGTATATATACCTACATCATATGGGGAGCTTGCAGAGCATCTATGGTTAATGTCTTTGCAGAATATTGGATGATGCTTTTGTATTTGGATGTTGCTTTTGTCCCTTAATCTACTTAAAGACAACACATAATACATTTTCCAGGTGGTACTTGGAGGTGGTCAGGAAGCATCACATGTCACAACTACTGATCGTCGTGCTGGGAAATTTGAGGCCAAATTCTTTCACAAGGTGAGCTCTCTTTTCTTTATGACTATTTTTTGTAGAAAATTTTTGATCCATGATGTTTGGGGACTTATATTTGTCTCTGGATAGATCCTTCAAGAAGAAATTGGGGGCGTGAAAGGGCATTTTGGACCAATAAATGCTTTGGCATTCAATCCTGATGGAAGAAGGTCTTTCTCATCTCTCATCTTTACATTTTATTTTCCAATTTGCTTCTTACTGAAGATGAGTTCGGTTCTTAACCTGTGAACAAGTCTCCTTATTATCTGATCATGAGGCTGGGGATCTGTTGATTCTGAGACCCTACTAGGGAAATCCTGCCCCTTAAGGTTGGCCTTGGTAAAAGGGATTTCCCATGCTTTCTTTAGAGCTTTTTCTTTTTTACTTGCATCAAATCATTCCTTCATTGGTATAGTCACTGATCATCTAGTATCGAAATCCCTTTTCTTTTACTAGGCAAGTTGGAGTGATTTCAAATAAATTTCTTGCATGGTGACAATGACCCAAAGAATGATAATTTAATTAATTAAAAGCATGCTTAGAAGAGGGAGAAATTAATACCAATATTGTTAACTTAATACAATGAAATGGCGGGGTATCCTAATTTAGGAGGATTCTAAATGGTTTGGTGGTTTTGCAAGAGCCTTGTACATTTGTTGATAAGTAATAGCCAAAAATTACATTAGTTGATAAGTTATTGTGATCTTGTAGCAAATGAGGTTGGCTCTAAGGAAGTTCTATTTATTGCTTCCCTGAAAGATTTTTTGAATTCTTGATTTCCTTTAACTAATGCTTTTCTTTATGTTAAACATTATGGGGCTTTTATTAACAACATTTTAGACATCTGGAGGGAAGTCAATGGTCTCCAAAGTTCTGTTTGTTATCATCTTCCTGCAAACCAAATGGAGCCAAATGGTTAGAGGTTGGAAGTTGGAACAGATCCAGATGGTTACTTTCTTTGGAATGTAAGGGCTGACAGCTGTGTAAATTTTTCTTGGTAAAATGCGAGTTGGTTAACTGTCCCCTGTTCTTGGGAGGATTGGATTTGGGAAAGATGGTTCTAGTGAATAAATCACCTTTTAAGAATGGCTTTGGAGATGTCATGGGAAGAATATGCTGGAAAGATGATTCTAGTGAATAAATCACCTTTTAAGAATGTAGCCTAATGGTTAGTGGGTGGAAGTTGGAACAGATCCAGATGGTCACTTTCTTTGGAGTGTAAGTGCTGACAGCTGTGTAAATTTTTCTTGGTAAAATGGAAGTTGGTTAGCCATCCCCTGTTCTTGGGAGGATTGACTTTTGGAAAGATGGTTCTAGTGAATAAATCACCTTTTAAGAAATGACTTTGAAATGTCATGGGAAGAATATGTTGGAAAGATGATTCTAGTGAATAAAGCACACCTGTTAAGAAATGGCTTTGGAGATGTCATGGGAAGATTATGCTCTTTCTGAGAGAACAGTGATTGCCAAGTATGGAGACTCAAAATTGTTTAGTTTCTACATCAATTTCGGATTCACATGGCCCAGACTAGCTCGGGCCGGGCATTAGGCCTATATCATATAAGTCATCTATATTATTTGTAATAATATATTATTGCGGGCTGGGCTAGAATGGGTTAGAAATGATCACTCCTAGGCTAAGGTCAAGTCAAGATTTTGGGAAAACAATTGGAGTGATACCATAATTCTTAACTCCCTTTGTGCTTAGACTAGATCAAGTTTCTTCATGTTGGAATGTTACTTGTGATTTTTTAAGGGTAAATTACTAAAGCCTCCCCTTAAGTTTCTTACTTTCTGAAACCTCCCGTGATGTTTGATAATTGCAATTACCTTCCGTGATGTTTGGTATTGTGTTTCTTTTTCCAGAGATTTATGTGAATCAGCTTAGTCTTGGTGAACGTCTGTAGGCTTGATGTCGGGGGGGTGTCTGGATTTTGGACTCGTGATACTATATCTAAATTAAAACAAATATAATGAATGCACTTGCCACTATTGCAACAGGTTTCCACTATTCGTTTGAAATGATCATGAAATTAGAACTTTTTAGGTGTTCCATGCGACTACCTTATAATGCGTTTTACTATGTATTATGCTCAAATGCATTCAAAATGTGCTTCTGAATATGTGTTTTGGTACATGGTAGTATACAGTGTTTTGGGTTTTAGTGCAATGTTATAGTTCTTTTTTGCCCCCCTTTTGATGCTTGTGTAGTCATGGTTTCATGTATTATTATAAACCTTCGTACAAAACATAATTTGTTTACACTCGAAAGTAGCATATATATATATATATACGTGTGTGTGTGTGTGTGTGCACGATCCTTGTCTGCTTCAATGTCTAGTTTTACATTTTTTGTCATTTCCTGATTTATTTTCTACTGTGTAGTTTCTCAAGTGGAGGTGAAGATGGTTATGTCAGATTACATCACTTTGATCCAGATTACTTCAATATCAAGATGTAACTCCCAAACATGCTGACAAGGAGAAATTTTTGTCTGTTTTATTATTTTGTTAAACGCTTTAATTCATTAGATATAATTTTGTGCCATTTTAGTTAGAACATGTCAAGTCTTGTTTGATGAGAACCTTCTGAATGGTAGAAACTGGGAACCACAAGAATTTTGTGCTGACGTAAAACTTGAAATCTTAATTGCTATTGCCAGGCTTGTGCGAAGGTTAAACCATTACTGTATTTTTTCTTGGTGATACAGATCGAAAGTCCATTTTTTGTATGGAAGGTTCTTTGTGTGCCATGCTGTCTAGAGCATTTTAGCTTTTATGATATCTAAGTAACTTCGATTTATAGATACATGAATAAAAAGGTTTGAACACTTTGATGCTTTTCTTAAATACTGAACTCCCCCTCCCCCCTTTTCAAATTGGATTAAGAACTTTTCTGGTGATGTCATTTGACAGACCTCTCCTTTGTTAGCAATCCATCAAGATCCGTTTGCATGTGATTTCACATATGGTTGATTTTTTTTTTTGTTTTTAAATCTCAAATTTGCCCCTTTATGAACATTTGTCGCTTGGAAAATGACAATCATGGTAATTGAGAATTTATAATATAATTTTGCAATGTTTAGAGAATTGGATTGGGCATAGAATTGCAAAAAGGGAGAGGTTTATGAATTAGAGGTTGAACGGGGTTAAATTAGAGGTCGAACTGTGATGATGTGGTATATAAGTCTAACGAATTATGATCGCCATTTTGGACCGTCATTCTAGGGCAAGTTGCCCTGTTTTCTTGTTCTCCTATATTGACACACTCATTTCTCTATAAATAATAGAGTCCCAAAACCCTCCACATGAGATCATCTTGAATTCTGGAGAGTACTGAGAAAGTCTTAACATGTCAACCTTCTACTTGCCCAAAGTTCCCCATTACTCGGCCTAACCAATTGGGTGAAATTTTCTTTTCCCATAAAGGTGGTCATAATTTGTTAGATACACGAGTATGTAGCTCAAGGTTTCATCACATGTCTATGAGAATCTCTTAGGACTAGAGTTTATTGTCTTTAGAGATTTCAGGCATGATTTAAAATATCGACGTCAATAGAGGTGTATCGGTACTTATCGACTGATATAGGCCGATATGTATCGATGCACCATTTGTAGGGGCATATCTCCCAATATGATACTTATCGATTGATATAGGCCGATACATATCAATACTTTGAACCTTGATTTCACGTGGGCATGCTTATAGTTATAGCCAAGGTTCAAAATATTGATATGCCTGATATGCCGGTAGAGGCTTATCGGGTAGTATCCGTAGTTTTTTTTTTTTTTTCAAATTCAGTTCTGAGGGGCCGGTTTAAGGTCCTTCCACCCCTGAACCGGTCAAAACTTCGATACACCCTCTGTAGGGGCATATTAGAAAGCTCCTGATATGATATATATTGATCGATATGGGCTGATATATATTGATACTTTGAACGTTGGCTATAACCCTTTTGAGAGCTTATTCGGAGTCACGTGGAGCAGTGCTCCCTTTGAACAAGCGCCTAAGGATTAACATGTGACATTGCAAATGGATTGACAACGCTACTGCCTTAGTGGCACCTTGTGACGTTAGGTTAAGCTAAGGGCGTTGGCGAATGCGATAGTATATTAGTCGTTGGTCACACTATGATGTTTTTTCCCTGTCATCGCAATGTGCATCCTTGCAATTACCTCTTTGTAGTGGCATCTCTACCAGTAAGGAGATTAGTAGAGTCATTGCAAGCATCATTGTAGGTCTTATGTAGCTTAGGGAATCACGAGGTCCTTCAATTTCAATTGCTGATAGCGTGGTTTATACTGCCTTTGGCGATGAACATAGTCTTCACTGTAGGTCTTGTGGTAGTTGCCTTTGTCTTATTATTTCATCGTAGGTTCTACGATGTTATGGATCATATAAATACTATTTAATATATTTTACAACTTTTGTTATATTTAAACATAGTGGATGGATGGAAAGTTCCTTAATTTTCAAAGAAAATGGCTATTTTTATTTTTTTTATTTTTTTGGTATTTGGTGATATGCACCATACTAATAACCCCCTTCCCAATGTCAACGGTTACGAGAATTGAATCCATGTCTATGTTGGAGTGAACCAGCTAACACACCAACTAAGCCCCTCTCAGTTAATTGCCTAGGGTTCAAGCATCTTAATTCACATTTTCTGTAAACTACATGTATAATAAAGTAATATATACAATAAAAATTAATTAATTAACACCAATAAATAAGTGGGTCAATGATAAGCCGTGTTACATATGTTTTGAATTTTCAATTATTTAATGACTTAAGTAGTTTCATGAAACCAGAACTGGTTCAATGGTTTTTAGGTTAAACTAGCCAGTCAGTTCATCGGATTTTTAACAATTCCAGTTCTTGCGATGTGATCAAATAGGCTAGGGCCTTGGGTCATGGTTCAATTAAAAAAAAATGGTTTAATTGGTCGATTTGGTTTGGTTATTAAACACTTCAATTTTGGGGATTTGAATTTTCTCCATGTTAGTGATGGTAGGATCCCTTACTGTTTGACTATTGTCTGATGCTACCTCTACTGTTTTTGACAATTTACTAGCTAAACCCTTACCGTTAGCATCCATTAATATTCTGTCAAAACTCGTACACACGTGACTTATAATCTTTTTAAAGGGAAAATTCCTGATCATTATCCTCAACTTCAGGGGTTGTCTCTAGTCAATTCCCAAACTTCAAAATGTATCTATGCAGTACCTCGAACTTTCAGAATGTGTCTAATAGGTCCTTGTCATTAACAGTCCGTTAGTTAATTTTGGAAATGTCAAAAGTACTCATCAAGTGTCATCTAATTTTCTTTATTTGCCATTTGAACATCTTCACTCAGTTTTCAATTTGCCAATTTTGATTTCCCTATCAAATAGGAGAACCCCTTGTAAGCAGGGTGGTAAGGCTAAGTATGGTGATCTCCTCGAAAGACGATGGAAGGCTAAGGGATGTTGGGTAGCAAAGGTAGAGAGGGGTCTTAGACAAAATCATGTATTAATCATGATTTAATCCTTTTTTATAAGGGGAGACCTCGTGGCCCTAAAGGGAAGGTGCCAAAAGGGGTTTGATTCCCATTAGGAAAGGGGATATTTGATTCGTTGTTGCTTGCCAGGAGGACACTGTTAGGGGTTCGCCATGTGTCACGTGAGATCTTCCTAGTATGAAGTTTCCTTTCGTCCGAGGATTCTCATGGTACACGTGCGCTACTTCCCCTCATAGGTCTCTTGTATCGACACGGCGTGGATGATGCTAGAGATAGTTTGATGTGCTTTGCTTAGTTTGTTAGGTGTCTTGTCGTGAGTTACTTTGGCTTGTTGCAATCGTGCATGGTTCTTTAGTCCATTGCAGGTTTGTAATGGCTTCAAGTTCATCGCAAACCTAGATGGGTTGTGGGCTTATCGCAAACCCTCGGTGGCTTCTGTGTCATTATAGGCATTTTCGTCATTATGGTTTGATGCCTTTATCACAATTACGGATATAGGGAACCGCATGTACTTACAATTAACCCCTTGCTTATTGGTAAGGGTATTCTTATCAATAAGCATTCTTGTGGTTTGTGTGCTTTCTTTGCTTCCTTTATCGCATGTTCTGCCATTAGATGGGGTGTCATG